TAACATACAGCATGCTTTGCATTGCAGTGGCCTTGGTGGGACTATAATAGCAAACTTAGTAAGATCTTTGGGAGGACCCAAATACGATGGGAAATACCTTCATCAGGTGGTGAGAGAGAAACTTGGAGACATTCGGTTGCATGAAACTCTCACCAACGTTGTCATTCCCACCTTCGACATCAAGTCTATGCAACCCATTATTTTTTCTTCCTATCAGGTTAACTTTCCTCTCTCTTTTTTCTTTTCTTTTCACTTTTCAAAGGAATTTTCTTTCCACTTTCCTGGTGTTTGGGACCTATATATATTTATTTGTTTATGGTTCTTGTTGGACCTTTGGGGTTCAAATTTTGACTATAAACAGTTGTCGGCTAATAAGACAAAAACAATTGTCTTTCAGTTTTCAAGAATACTATGATGATGTCAGTTTAGGAAAAAGTAAAACTAAGTTGGTTGCAGTCTTTTATTTTCCATTTTTTTCAGCCACTAATATGTCAATGTTAATATATATTAACAAAGAAGAGAATTAAATTAAAAGAAACTATAGAAGGTGAGAAAGAAAGTAACACAGTAAGATTTAAAATAAATTGATGCAGATGAAGATGTCTCCTTTCATGGACGCTAAACTCTCAGACATATGCATAAGCACCTCCGCTGCACCCACTTATCTGCCTGCACACAATTTCAAGAACCAAGATTCTGAAGGGAAGATACACGAATTTAACCTCATCGACGGTGGCGTTTGTGCAAATAACCCGGTATATGCTTAATTATTCAACAATCGATTGTTGTTTGAACTTTGATTTAACTACGTAATTAATGTAAATGGGAATGTATCACTAACTTATTTTCTATATCGGAATTTCATGATGCAGACCTTGGTTGCCATGAACGAAGTTACAAAGCAAATCATTAAGCAAAACTCTGATTTCTTTGCCATCAAGCCAATGGAATATAATCGGTTCCTGATAATTTCAATAGGCACTGGGACAGCAAAAAATGAGGAAAAATTCAATGCTCAAATTGCCAGCAAATGGGGGTTGTTGGATTGGCTAACCTACGACGGCAGCACTCCCTTAACTGACGTTTTCAGTCAGTCCAGTGCAGATATGGTTGACTTCCATTTATCTGCTGTCACTCAAGCACTTCAGTCACAGGATAATTACCTTCGAATTCAGGTAATATTTCTATGAGCATGCATAATATTTGGTCAAATACTATGATCATGTATACATAATTGGTCAACAACATTTGCAGGATGACACATTGACCGGAACAGATTCTTCAGTTGACATTTCTACAAAGGAGAATCTGGAGAAGCTTAGCGAAATCGGTGAAAATCTGTTGAAGAAACCAGTCTCTAGGGTGAACTTAGAGAATGGTCTCTTTGAGCCACTCAAAAACGGGGAAACTAATCAAGA